ATAATTTAGATATTTTTAAAAATATCTCCTTCCATACTTTAGAGTAGACATCCTTTTTTTCTTTTTCTTCTTGTCATATATTACATCTCTACTGCAGTTTCCCCTCCCCTTCCCTCCAGTCTCTCCCTCCTACCTCCCCTCCCCACCAGTTCCCACCCTCTGCCTCCCATCAGAAGAGAGCAGGCCTCACAGGGACATCAGCCAAACGTGGCATAGCAAGCTACAATAAGACCAGGCACATACCATCACATCAAGACTGGACCAGGCAACCTGGCAGAAAGAGAAGGGTTCCACAAGTTAGCAAGAGTCAGAGAGACCGCCCCCTCTCTCACTGTTAGGAACCCCACAAGAATACAAAGCTACTTGGCCATAACATATATGCAGAGGACCTAGGTCAGACCCCTGCAGGCTCCCTGGTCTCTGCAAGTACCCATGAGTTCCGGCCAGTTAATTCTGTGGGCTGTGTTCCCATGGTGGACACCCTATCTTCAATCCCAATCTACCCCTCCAAGAGCAATGCCTGAACTAGTTGCTTATTATGAATATTTTGTCGGAGTTTTACTGTGTGTCTCGGCACCCCCACCCCCACCTCCACCCTCACCCCGCCGTAGCTCGCTCTCCACCATGCCCCGTCGTGGGATAATGCTTTAGAACACTGTAAAGATTTGGCAGCGGACCGGGCAGGACAGAAACTTCCCTCCCCCAGGGACTTTGTGACATGATGCACAGCCTTCCTGGGTTTTCTGGTAGGGCCCTTTGAATCTCTCCTGCATGGTAGGATTCCGAATGCTTCTGTAGCTGCTTTGTAAAAATCCCTGCCTTTGTCACGCATGTGTGGCGACACGCATGCAGAGATCAGAGGACACCGTGGGACTCGGTGCCGTCCTTTCACTGTGCGGGTTCTGGGAATTGAACCCAGTCGTCAAATCCGATGCCAGATACCGTTAGCTGCTGGGCCACCTCACTAGCCCTGTTAGCTGTATTTCCCCATGATCTGAAATAATCTTAGTCAGATTACCAAAGCAACGTGTGACCCTAGAGGCCCAATGATGGGCTTCTGGCTCCTTCCAGCTTTTCTGTTGATGGTGACACTGGTGAGCCTAGGTACATTCTGGCCTCTGTCACTATACCCAAGTGAGAGATGGCATTGCCTCTCCTGCGAGCCCCTCGTCCTGGGTTCTCTGTGGGTCTGATGTTTTTGCTGCACTCCTACACAGACACACACAGAGCAAATGTGTACATGCTCTTTAAGTGTGACCCTTTCTTCCTCCAAAGCTCCAAAGTTTCTCTATCGGGGCTGGAGAGAAATGGCTCAGAGGTTAAAAGCACTGACCCAGTGGTCCCGAGTTCAATTCCCAGCATCCACATGATGGCTCACAACCATCTATAATGGAAATCTAGTGCCCTCTTCTGGCCTGCAGGCATACATGCAGGCAGAGCACTGTATACAGAATAAATAAATCTTGGGGGGAGAAAAGTTTCTGTGTCTATCTGAGTCACCCAGAAATCGGGGTATGGGACCTTCTGGTGGATGTGGGCTGAGATCTTCAGCCCTGATGCAAGCTTTGTTCAAGTCCCAGGAAAAAGAGCTCTCGCCTCCCTTCCTCTCCAGCTTCAGTCTACCAAAGCCCCTGGAAGGCACTTCTGACGCATTCTTACCTCCCCACAGAACCCCTCTGCCTCACCGTAAATGCCGGGTTTTGTTTGAAATTTACAGGGATCCTCTTGTGTTGCATAGTTTTGCAGAACACGTTTTTATTTGAAAAGAGCAAATACAATATAATATTCCTTGACATAAAACTGGTCTTGGAGTTGTGATCGCCTGGGGCCAGTAGCCCTGGCCTGTTTTAGCCTCGCTGGGCAGCTTCAGAATAAGGCCCAACCTCATGCTCCCTTCTTTCTAGGGCTTCTGCTCCACGACGTGACCATGGCCGGCCTGCAGGAGCTGCGATTCCCTGAGGAGAAGCCCCTACTCCGGGGCCAGGATGTGACAGAGCTGGTGAGTCGCCCCTTCCAGGTCCTGGGGACCGTGCGCCACCTTGTGGTGAAGAGGGAAATTGCGTGTTTTCCTGCAATCTTGTCTGTGGTACTAGAGAGAACTGCCCTGTGAACTCAGAGCTACCCAGAATTGACTGGTTCTCATTTCTTTTTTCTTTTCTTTTCTTCTTCTTTTTTTTTTTTTGGTTTTTCGAGACACGATTTCTCTGTGGCTTTGGAGCCTGTCCTGGAACTAGCTCTTGTAGACCAAGCTGGTTCTCGAACTCACAGAGATCCGCCTGCCTCTGCCTCCCGAGTGCTGGGATGAAAGGCGTGCGCCACCACCGCCCAGCCTGGTTCTCGTTTCTTGAGGAAGTTGCGGGCGGGATCAGCCTAAGTGTGCATCCAGCGTTGCTGGGTATGCATCCTCCCAGCCTTGTTTGCAGCTGGGAAAGGCAGGAGCCCGGTGCTTTCCATCTTCAGCTCCGTGTTTTATCTCCACCGACCTTCCAGCCTCCCACCAGAAAGAGTAGCAAGGATTGGGATCAGGTGGCTTAGTGGGGGCTCTGGGGAGCCCAACCACATGAGGCCACAGCCCTGCCCCTGAATGGGGCGTCATTGGTCATTCAACGCATAACCTCGAGCCAAGCACCTACGCCTGGGTTATTCGAAGGTAGCCTGTAGGGCCGGCAGTGAGCTGCGCATTTGACAAGCTCCTCATCCCAGGTTCCAGAATATTGCTCTCCCCCCCGCCCCCCGCACCTCCTTCCTTCCCAGGCTCCTTGAACCTTGAGGGTATCTGCCATATTTCCAGCCGCTTCCTCCGCTGGAGACATCAGCCCGAGAATTTACAGGGCAGGCTTCCTATTTTATTCTGGCTCTGCTCACGCATTCCCAGGAAGCCTTTGCCGGCCACTAGGCTGTTCCTGGCACCCCTCCACTCTGTTGTCACTGGCAGCGTGTCCCCAACCCTGAAGCACGGGTCTGTCTTGTGCCCAGGTCTCTCCAGCCTCCTGCAGCACCTCACCGTCCCTTTCTCCTGACTCACGGTCCTCCCCTCCTGTTCCTGGCAGCCTTCCTCCTCCTTCTGCTGAACCCAGTCTCTCATTTCACGCCAGCAGCCATCAGGGCGGTGGTAGTCTACCACTCTGGTGTTTGAGATCTGTGTTTCAGACTCGTGCAGAGGCTCCAGTCCTTGAGTCAGCAAGAGGCTCTTGCTGGGTACCCGGTCACCTCTGCTTTTTCCAAAGGGGCATTTTTTAAAAATGCCCAGTGTAGCCTCCTCATGACTCCCAGCAGAATCCTGGCGGTGTCAGCTAGCTGCGCCTTTGTCTTCAGAAGCTGCCCTTCCTCAGGCTGTGATGCTGGCAAGGTCTCTTAGCATCCTGAGTGCACTGCCTGCCTGACCTCTTCACTCTCCGAACGGCTGTAGTTTGCCGGGTACAGACTTAGGTACAGGGATCTAGAGAGGGGTGAGTACGGCAGGCCCTCACATCCACTGTGTCCACACCCAGGACCTCAGTTAGTCTGACAGAAGCAGCCAGAGAAAATCGTCTGTACACACTTTTCTTGTCCTTGCTCCCTTAACAGCGGAGTATAGCATCTACTTCCACGACATATGCATATCTTCTAGAAGGTGTGTTATCGGCAACCTAGAGCTGATTTAAATTGTATGAGAGGAGAATCATGGGTGCTGGGCAGATACAATGCCATCTTAGAGAAGTGAAGTTTGGTACCTACCGAAGGTTCTGGAACCAATGCAGAGGCAGAGGCATGACTGTATTCTTTGTGCCTGTCCACCTCTATAAGCCACTTTAGACCGGCTTTCCATGAAGTCTGCAGGGTCTGAGGAGTCCCAGGTTCCAGGGGACACTGGCTGCCCCTTCTCTGGACCTCCCAGGTCTCCGCACCCCTCATAGACTTTCCATTCATCCAGACCCCCTCCTGCCCTTTTTTCTGACCTCAGACACCTCCTGTGATTCCCAGGGTTTCATGCCGGCTCATTTTCCTGCCGTGTCTTGGTTTGTGGGCCCATCCCTCCCACGCGCCTATCTCCTGGGCCCCTAGCTTCCCGAGAGCATACAGCACACCCTACCATTATCTGCCTCATCCTTTCTGTCAGATTTTGTGTTTTTAACAGAACTGCCTCCTTCTCCCCCGAGGTAATTACCTTCCCACACTAGCAATCCTCTCACTGAGGTGCTTTGGTGACAGGCTCCATCAGTGACCAGCCCCTCCCCCGTCTGCCAGCAGCCCCCTTCCTAAAGGGTTCCAGAAGTGGCTGCCCTCCTCCCTTGACGGCTGTAGTTTCCCTAGGCTTTGGAAGAGTCAGTAGGTCTCCCTACATAGCCGAGGCTGGCCGTGGGTTCCCAGCCTCCTGAGTGTTGAATGGTTGGCCCGTGCTACTATACTCAGCTTTGGGTGTCTTCTGTCATGGCATCTGGAGTCCAGAGGTGGAAGATGCCAATTGTCAGTCTCGCATAGACCCAGGAAGGTTGAGAGAGCTGAGTGGGTACTGCTTCCGGCCTTGACAATACCTAGTGTGCACAGGCCAGGACACTGAGCAGACCTCAGCTTCCCTCCCTGCCATGGAGGTGACAGGCAAGGTGCCTCTTTGCTCCTCCACGATCCTCTACCCTTGTGTGCAGTGATCCAAAGCCAGCACTGAGATCCCAGTGCATTCTGCCTGTAGAGCAGCCCTCAGTCTCCCCAATACCCTACGAGATAGAGATCCTTGCACTGTCCGTACCCCGACACCCTAGGTAAGCCCGTGAGCCCCTTCTGTCAGCATGAGTATGACTGAAGTCTGAAGACCAGTCTGCTCCGGGCAGAGCCTGGGAGCCGGTCTAACTTGTCCTCCTTGTTTGCTTTCCTTAGGATAACCCTGACACCTTCCTCTCAGTTGTGGACACAGACTGGAAGGTAGGTTAAAGTTCAGCCTCTCAAAATGTGGGGCCCCCGTATCTGTGTGGACCGCATTCCCGCTAGGCCGGGTCGTAGAGGAGAGTCATAGCCTGTCTGCATGTCCCGGTCTCAGGTGGGGAGGGAGGACAGGCCATCTCATGGTCTAATGACTGCCCCCACTGCTCACAGCGCCTCCTCCACTGGTTTCGTTACAGCTGCTCCCCCTACCCAGCTTCGGGCAGAGCGGGAGTGGGGCGGACCCTTTGTGAACAGCACAGCTGGGAAGGAAGCAGAGGCCTCAGGCCATGAGTGTGCAAAAGGGAGCGAGAGATGCTGTCACCTGAATCAGCATTTTCCACCCGTGGAAGCTAGGTTGACTGTGAACTAACTCTGGTTTCCATAGCAACCGTTGCCTGGACAACCGTGTCCTCTTTAGTTTGATGCCAAAGGTACCATGAAAATGGAACTTGCTCTTTGTTTGATTCCTTCGCATGATTTTGTTCAACCGTTTCTCCCCTCTGAGACCCCCGGGAACTGTGTAGTTCCAGGTCCCAGACCATATCTAACAGCGGCATAGGACAGAGAGGGACATAGGCTTCCAGGGCTCTCAGACGTCACTGGCCACCTGAATATAACAAACCAGTTCAGAGCCCCTTCCTCCCCGCTGGCTGGAAGTCGCCCCCAGGCCACTTTCTTTTCTCCTCCTGACCTTTATTTGGTTCAGTCTCCTTGGAACAGTTTCACAGTCTGGATACGGGAGGTGGGGCTCCCCGATGGCTCCTCCCCCTGAAGCAGTACAAGAGGTGGGGCTCCCCAATGGCTCCTCCCCCTGACGCAGCTAGCAGGCAAGAATGAGGATCTGGGCCTGTGTTGGTCCCTTGGTCACGTGCCTCTTCAAGGAGGGAGGCGGTAGGCAGACCTTGCTCACGCTCACGTCCCCTGAGGTCACAGGCCTCAGCTGAAAGTGCAGCACTCTGATTGGCAGCTGGGGCCAATCAGAGTCCCCGAGAAGGATTGAGTGGACCAGCCTCTTCTTCAGAAGGGACAGCCAGAAATCAGAACAGGCCCTGTCATGGAAGTCTCTGTCTGTGACAAATGAGGGTGGGGTGTGTGAGTGGACAAGCCTCGAGCAGCTGTGCACGGTGGGACCCTGGTTCTCAGCACCCTTTGCTCCGTGAAGGGCAGCGTGCTCTCCAGGGAGCACTTCATAGAGGCAGGTTTTGCTTGGTTTTTTAAAGAAAAACACCCACAAAGATGGCTGTTTTCTGGGCCACAGCTGGGGAGCCACCTTCATGCCCAGCACCACAGTGGCAGGCAGTGTCACTGTCTCTGGCTCTACAGGGTCAGCTGCGGGAGAAAGAAGCAAGACAGAGAAACCAGAAAGCATAAGAGATCCCAGTCCGCCGCCCACGCTGCTCTCAGCCTAAGTCTGTCTGTGTCCACCCCTCACCTCTCACTCCTATGTTACTCCCAGCCTGCTCCAGTCTAGGTTCCCCCTACCTCGCCCCACGCTGCCCCAGCGGGCTCATTCACTCATTCACAGTGAAGCGGCTCCGAGTGCTTATAAGGGAATGGGCCAAGTGTTTGGACATCTTCCTCCACCTCCCCACTCCCCGTGACCGTGACGAGGCACCGCCGACCACAGCACGCAGTCGCAGTAGATCACCTGACATGACTTCTGGTGCTGTGGCTTCTAGCTGTGTGAGGCGGAGCAGCTTATCACATGTCTGAAAAGTGGGTACTGAGAGAGTGGAAAGCACTTAGGGTCTGGCATGGGGGGCATTCTAATGTAAGTGACTGCTCCCCTCGATGGTCGTACCGTGGGCCTAGAATGCTGAGAAGCCCTGCTGCCCCTTACCTGAACGAGAAAACAATCGGACTCCTGGGCCTCAGGCACCCCATCCTGTCTCTCAGGCTTCTGTGTTTCCTCAGAAGCAGAGAAATAAATACCTTGCCCCAGGACCCCGCAGACAGCTGGTTGAGCAGACCTGACTTTGGGTCTGTGGGTTTTCTAGCCAGCAAGCTGAGCAGAGACAGGAAGCTCTGGAAGAGGCCGGTGTTAAGCGAGCATCTCCGTTGGGAGCAGGGAGAGGGGAAACCCCTCCATAGGTAGTCAGGGAGTGGGCGTGGGTCGGTAAAGGACTGCAGGGAGTGGGAATTGGTAGCAGGGTCCTTGAGAGGCCCATGGGTAGATTTGGGAGGAGCAGACCGGGACAGGAGGGCTGGGGGCACTGTTCCATGTCTCTGTTTGGGGGTGGCCTGGTCAGAAGTGGTGCAGGCAAAGCTGTTGGTACCCAAGACAGAGGCTGTTACTAGGAATAGTGCACGCAGCTGCTGCAAAGGAGGTCACCAGGCACCTGGGCGGGGAGCTGGCCACCTTCCCCCGGGACCCACCGGGATGCAGGGCCGTCAGCGCAGATAGGGACCGGAGACAGAATAGGGGCACCGGCACCTGCCCCTACCATGTTCCCTGTTACTTTGGTCCTCTCAGCCCCGGGGCGCCCTCCTCTCTCACCATCCTGGCCTACTTCCTCTCCTTTACTCCCCTCGTCTTCCTGCTCCTCTGTGCGCTGTGTGCCTTCAGTCAGCTTTTCACCCTGAGCCTCGCTGTCCTGACAGATAAAGCATGCAGCCTGGGGGAGCTTGTGTGTCCTCTCCAGAGCCCCAAGAGCTGGATTCATACCGACTGGCTTCAGAAGACAGGACTTGGCTTGAGTGTTTGTTTGGAACGCAAGCATGTCAGCCTGTCCCCCGCCCCCCTTGCCTTATCCTCTTGCAGGACTGTGAGGTCGAGGAGGGCTAGGCCTTCCCTATTGCTCCTCTGCTTCTGCCCAGCACCCTCAGACCCCTAAACTCCACATTTGCAGGGCTGTGGGTCAGCCCTGGGCATCTGTGTTGGCAGGGTTGGAGATGCCTAAGGGGGGAGACCCCGAAGCAATGGATAAACCCAGGTGCTCCCCAAACCAGTGACGTCCTTCCCAACCAGTAACTGCCCTCAAGGTTATACCACCTAGGCTGTCGTCTTGCTGGGATGTCTGGGCCTGGGAGTCAGGTGCTCCAGATACTGGGTCTCTTGGGACCCTTGTGTTCCCAGGGGATGGAGCCGAGTGCTGAGACGGGTCTGCAAGTCCAGTTTTTCAGGCCACCCCACACTGGGATTCATATCCGTCAGGCGCCTCCGTGTGCGTGATGCTGGGGTGCCTGTGTTGCCCTGGCTGCTGCTTCCCAGGAGCCACATTAAGCTGCACCTGATGGAAGGTGCCTGGGTGCTAAGCACCCTTGAGCTGCAGGGGCTGGGGACAATCGGGGGTGTTGTGTCACTAGGGCGGGAGGGGCTGAAGCAAGGTGGAGTGAGCGAGGATCTCAGAAGCCAATTGGAGCCAGGTTTGTCTCCTAACAGCCAATGTGGGAGCCAGGACTCGGAGTGAGCAAGTAGCTGCTCAGAAACCCTTCAGGGAGGAGGGACCAGCCTGGGCAGGGCCGGGATCTGTGTATAAAATCACGGGGAGCTGTGCGCCCCGTCACAGAGCCGCAAGTCTCCCACCCAAGCTGTCCGAGTGACTCAGGCTTTTGTTTGCGCTTTCTGGTTCGGCAGATTCCCTTCCGCGGCAAGATGCCGGAGTGCTGGGATGGGGTGAGTGAGGGTCCAGGGGCGCTGCGAGATGGGCAGGGAGAATGGAGCATCCTTGTGACCTACAGAGGATAAGGTGTCCTCCTGACCTGTCTGGTGACAGCTCTGCCCCGAAGCCTGTCTTCCTCGTCTATTCAGGCACTGGGTGGAGGGCTGGGTAAGAAGGATGGGTCCATTGGCTTCTGTTTGCTGGCTTGTGTTCTCGGCCTCATCTGTGAACTCTTGGGGTCACTTCAGCTTGGTGCGTCCTCTGTGAGCCTCTGCCATGTTCCTAGCTTCTGTCAGGGTTGTGCCTGCAGGGTCTAGCCTGACGGCGGAGGGGAGGGGGGACCGCATGATGCTGGATAGCTTCCGCAGAGCGTCACGTCTCCATGAGGAGTTGCTTGTGTATCCCCAGTGCACTGCGGTGCCGGGCAAAGAAGGCGGCGGGGGTCTGGGTCTTCAGGCGCGAGTATCGCGGGAGGAGTCAAGGAGAGGCTGCCCTGCTTTATTTTACAAGGTGGGGAAGACAAGACTGAAGCACTGAGCTGGCAGGGCGTGGGGCGCCAGGACACCTCCTCTAGCTACGGGGGAGGAGCAACAGCTACCCAAGCCCTGTGCGCTTCCTCACCGTGGGAGATGCAAGGGCAGCTTTGCCCTGCACTCGCGCTCCGTGCCCCTGCCACTCATTCTCCTTACCGGCCTGATCCTAATCAGCCTCTACCCTCCCGTGCAGACCCGAATTACCCAGGAAGCTGCTGAAACCAAATCCTACCACATCCACCGCCATCGCCTTAGTATATGTCACAGCCCTGTTCTGACCCTCTTCTCCCCAGCCCTCAAGGTCACTGGTGTGGAGAGACAGAGCGAGAGACGTCAAAGCCCCCTCCCTTACTGCCTGCCGCAGTGCATCCCTCTAGCTCCCACCTGGAGGTGGGGCTCTGACGTCACTGAGAGCCAATGGGAGCACTTTACCCTGGGAATTGAGGGGCTGACAGTCTGCTGGGCTGTGGCCTTTGAGGCGTGTCCCCCCCCACACTCTGGTCAGCGGCCTGAGGGGTGGGGATGCTCAGCCTCCATCAGACCACCTGGGTCTGAATTCTCCGCCCGGGGTTGAGGAGGATGCGGTGGTAAAGACGTTATTGGGAACTTTCAGTCAAGGTCACTATGCCTCAATACGAGAAATTTGGTTAGCATCACTCCTGTGGGTCCCCATGACCTGGTCAAAGCCAGAGCTTCCCCTTCTGGGAAGTGAACCCTCCTTAGCAAGGCCCGTGCTGTGTGACTGATGGTATCTGCCTAGAGATAAGGACTTGGGCAGCCACATCAGGGTTGGGAAGGGAAGTGCAGACAACTCTGGTAACAGAGGGCAGAAACGGCTCACTATTTTGGAGAGTTCCGAGGCCCCGGGGTCCTTGCAGAGCGACATTGGACCCACCACAGCAGAGAAACAGACCCTTTGCTGGCTGCGTGGTGCTTTTCCACTGTGTCCCTCACGCCCCATCCCTTCCTTTAGAGCTGAGAGAACAGTGGAGTGACCGTAGCAGGGACCCCAGAGGAGAAAAGCAGCTGGCTGGGGTGGGGGCCCCCCTTGATGAACCTCAGCCCCGCCCCTCAGAAAATGCTCTCCTTGGTGCAGAGCCACAGCCCTGAGCTGGCATCTTGTCAGCTCTGGGTTCGACCTTGAGTGAGTGGATAATCCTCTCTGGGTCCGAGTCTTGCGTCTTCCCGTAGAGCAAACTGTAGAGGGTTGGGGTCCAGTGAGGAATAAATGAGGTGTCACATGCCAGGCACCAATGAGCAGGAAGCTTTTCCGGTCAAATGGATCGTGAGGGAGGATGGAGCCGGGAAGCTGTGTTGGGCTTGGGCCTAAATGAGGTCCACAGGATGATACTCAGGCCTCCCCTGAATCACACTGAATCCCAGAGTGTAGCCTGTGGCTGTGGGATCATCACCTCCTTTCCTTCTGGAGACCCAGTCTGAACAGTGGGCCTCTGACGCCACACCCCAAAAAGCCAGACTGCGGGAAGCTGGCTCTGTCATACACAGCTCCTTCTTCCGAAACCAGTGTCCCTGTCAGCAAAATGGAGTCTAGGTTCTCTCTGTCTCAAGTGTCCGGTAGGAAACTTGGTACACAATCGGAGCTCAGCCACTTGCTGTTTCTCTCCCCTTGGGGATGTAACACCACCCCAGCTTGGGGCCACTAGCAGAGGTGTCGGGACCCCTGTGATACAGGGTTAGGGTTTATTCAACTCTGACCAGTGAGCTAGGAATTTCCTGATTGAGGAATCCCAGGAATGGCCTGTTTGCAAAGAGGCCGGTTGACAAGGTAGCCCCTTAAGGTTCAGGGGTGCCACCTGGAACAGCCCCCCTTCTCTGGGCCATGTCTACTTACACAAAGGCTCTATGGGATGAGAGGCCACCTGCCCTGTTCAAAGTCACACAGAACCAGGTCCCCCTGAAGGACTAGTCCTGAGCAACAAAGCCAAGGGCATGGACTTGACCTGGGAGTAGGAACTGCAGAAGGACTTGGGGGCAGACCTGGCCGTGGAGATGGGTACCACAGGGCAGGGAATTTGAGGGAGCAAGAATAAGGACAGGACAAGGACAGATGTGTGGATCGGGAGCAGGATGTAGCTGACGTGGGAATGTTTGCTGTGGATTCTAGGTGGGGCAGTGAGGCCATTCTGCAGGAAGGAGGCACCCCATGATTGGTAGTGGGGTGGCAGAGCCCTCTCGAGAGGGCTGTGCAAAGTGGAGAGAACGCTGACCTCCCAGGACCCTGTGGCAGGCTGGATGCAGAGCAGGGGCAGGGCAGTGGCAGGTTCATCTGTAGAGGGAATCGGGGCTGTTCCTGCGCCAACCACCTCTGAGGAGGAGGGTTCCACTTGTGCTCTGTGGGGTGACCTGAAGGGATAGACACCTTGGCTAGGGGCTCTAGCACCTCATTCCCCAAGAACCAGAGCTCCCTATGTCATCTGTCCCCTCTAGGAACATGACATCGAGACGCCTTATGGCCTTCTGCATGTGGTGATCCGGGGCTCTCCTAAAGGGAACCGCCCAGCCATCCTCACCTACCATGATGTGGGCCTCAATCGTAAGTGCAGCTGTGCCCTGGTCACCCTGCCTGGCCCCACCCTGAGCTGCAGAGCTGGCGAGGATTCCTCCCCTCTGAGATGCATGGTCCTGCAGATCTCCGCTCACCCTCCCCTCTGCTTGGCCTCTGATCTGGGATTCCCCACTGGGCCCCTGACAATCCTTGACGCCTGTCCTCTGTTCACGCCCACTGAGAGGTGTGTCTTTGCAGACAAGCTGTGCTTCAACACCTTCTTCAACTTTGAGGACATGCAGGAGATCACCAAACACTTTGTGGTGTGCCACGTGGATGCCCCTGGGCAGCAGGTGGGGGCGTCTCAGTTCCCTCAGGGGTAGGTACCCCCGAGTCTCTTTCCTCTCTCCAGCCCTGTGCCCTCGCTGTCCCCCAGGTCCTGAACTTCAGCTCTGTCTGCAGGTACCAGTTCCCTTCCATGGAGCAGCTGGCCGCCATGCTGCCGAGCGTGGTACAGCACTTCGGGTGAGTCCTTCCTAGCTCCCGCCTCTGAGCTTGGGGATAGAGTTGCCCACACCACTGAGGATAGCCTGACTTCAGTGAGGGGCTGAGGGTGGTAGGGGAGACCTGCTCTGAGTCTCATGGGAAATGACATCCCAGCCTTAGAGTGACCAGTTCTGCTCTACGACAGGTTCAAGTACGTGATTGGCATCGGAGTGGGAGCCGGAGCCTACGTGCTGGCCAAGTTCGCGGTGAGTTTCCCACCCTCACGGAGAACCCCAGGCCAGGCCAAGAGGGTGACCCCTGGGCCACAGAGGGCTTTCTCTACTCTGCTCTTCCTCCCCCCTTCTTCCTTCCCTTTTGCTGAAAAACCTTTTCCCTCCAAGGAAATGGAAGGAAGGAAGGAAGGAAGGAAGGAAGGAAGGAAGGAAGGAAGGAAGGAAAGAGAGAGGTGCTAGGCTGTGGCTCAGTGATCAGGGTCCCACCCCTAGCATTACACAATAGAGGAGATGGACTGATGAGATAGCTCAGCAAATAAAGCACCTATCCCACAAACCTGGAGACCCAAGTTCGATCCCTGGAGCCCACATAGGAGAAGAAGGGGAAAAGGGACTCCGCAGAGCTGTGACCTGCCACACATACACCAACCATAAATGAATAGTTAGAATAAATCAGGAAAAGGAGTCCCTTCCCCCTCTCCCTGCTTCGGAAGACTGTCAGCCACTACTTAGCCCTTCTCCAAAACCAGATTCCTGTTAGCCACAAAGCAACTTGTCACCTTGCCCACCAGCACAGGTTGTCCCCAGAGGACACAAATGGTCCTTTAACCCAACACTACGCTTACATTCGGGTTCTGAGGTTCAAAGAGAACATTTCAGAAACAGAAGGTTAGGCGGGAAAGCCTTCATCTCGAAAGCCAGGAATTGTTTTAGGATTCAAACATTTATTGTTGAAACAGAAACAGAATTTTCGCCTGTAGCTTCTGTTCCAACACTGAGCCGTTTTGCCAGCTGTAGACTAGTCCAGACCCCGCAGACAGACCACAAGGCCTCTGCATGTCTGACACCTGTTCTTCCTACACGCGGGCCAACCCTTGAACACCCTGTCGCAGTCAGCACAGAGCAGGCTTTGGAAAGGACGGTGTCTTCTCTTCTCCCACAGGTACTTCAGCCATAAAAAGCTAGGAAGGAAACAGCCTGTTTTAAGATTTTAAGATGGGGCCTGCAGGCTGGCTCGGCAGGTAGATGAGCTTGCCACCAAGCCCAGCAGCCTGAATTTGATCCGCTGGACCCAGATGATAGAAGGAGAGAACCAGCTCCCACTAGGGTCTTGTTTCATATGAGAATGTACACACACACACACACACACATACACATTCACATTTACTAGGGTCTTGCCTCCCTCCACATGCTCGAATGCACGTGCACTCTGACACACACAAATGAATGAAGAAATGTAAAAAATTTACAAGATTTAAAGATATTTGATAATCAGTTTTGCAACACCATTATTAACATATTAAAAACCCTGGCAGTGTGGCTTCATGATAGAGCATTCTCTGGGCACGTGAGGCAGAGCTCTGGGTCCCACTCCCAGAACCACACATACATACACAATACATATACATGTCCTAGAAAGGGTAATGGATTCCGTCTAAATCAAAAGATCTTTTAGGGCTGGGCAGAGAAGAGGAGCAGCGAGCCCCCCCCCCCCCCCCGCATGGGAGCCCTATACAGACCCAGGTCCTCAGCTGGCCCATCTGTGGTATCGTGAAGACTTCACCAAACAAGAGCTTCGTGACCTGCTCTCTCTTTCCTCTCTCCCTGCAGCTCATTTTCCCTGACTTGGTGGAGGGGCTGGTGCTGATGAACATTGACCCCAACGGCAAAGGCTGGATTGACTGGGCTGCCACCAAGGTGAGCACCAAGCCCACATAGCCCGTCCGGGAGAGCAGTGGGCTGAGTCGGGCCTCACCCTGGCTTTCCACCCCTCCTGCAGCTCTCTGGCTTGACCAGCACTTTACCCGATACAGTACTCTCTCATCTCTTCAGCCAGGTAAGGGGCAGAACGGATTGCATTTGGGGCGTCCTCGGGAGCAGGGGCTATAGGCAGGGGCTCAGCCAGCGGGGACAGGCTGGGTCACACAGTACTGTGTCTGAGGTGGTCGGTGGGAAGTCTTTCCACGCCCGAGGCCCCTTCCAGACCATTCCCATTAGGCTAGGGGTGGGGCCAAGGCTGTTCTGTAGATGACTCCCACGTGCCCTCTCAGAGGCCCGAGCCCCAGTATGTATCCCTTCCCTTACCCCCACTCCCAGGAAGAGCTGGTGAACAACACAGAGCTGGTGCAGAACTACCGGCAGCAGATCTCAAACGTGGTGAACCAGGCCAACCTGCAGCTCTTCTGGAACATGTACAACAGGTGTGGGTGTTCCCATCCCCCACGGGAGGGTGCTAGGCAGGCAGCACCATCCCCAGACTGGAGAGGAGCTGGAGTCTGGGAGAGGGTAGCTTCTTGCCCTCTGAGTTGAGGGGGAGCAGGGCCGTGGACTCTGGCTATCGGGTTCTTGCTCTTCCCCATTGCTGAGTGGAAAGGATAAGTCGCGCCCTTGGTCCCCATCGCAGGACGAGGTGCTCAGCCCCGTGCCTTTGCTTTTGCAAACTTTTAGTAAGGAAGCTCCTACCGGAAGAAACCCCCCGCAGTGTGGAAGAGACCCAGATGGACGCTAATATTCGGTCAGGGTTGTCTGTGTGGTCCTGCAAGATGGGAGTGGCAAGGACTCCGGAGCACATACCTGGCTCACTTGGGGGTACTGGAAAGGAGTCATGACAGGGACAGGCCAAAGGATAGGTCCCGTGTAGGCAGAGCAAGTCCGTGACTCCCAGGTTTACCAGTTGGCAGTGTTGGGATCCACCTCTGGAGGGGGGGTCGCCTTTACTTTTGTCCCTCCCCTCACAGCCGCAGAGACCTTGACATTAACCGGCCTGGGACCGTGCCCAACGCCAAGACACTCCGGTGAGTGGCTCCTGCCCTCCAGCCTGTCCCTGCGTTTGCCCCTAAGCCCAGGCCAGATGACTTTTATTCTCTGTCTCGTAGTTGCCCGGTGATGCTGGTCGTTGGGGATAATGCACCTGCTGAGGAAGGGGTGGTGAGTGTGACTCCCCTGCGCAGGCGTGGGAGGTTAGAATCTGGGGCAGATCCTAAGTGATGGGGTTCTTAGGTACTCTTCTGCCATCTGGTCACACACTGGGGCCTGACCTCCCACTTTGTGCAGGTGGAGGGGCCTGGCGAGTCTAGGACCATTCTTCCTGGTGGTCCCGTCTCTCTTCTCCCCAGGGTAGCCTACCTCACTTCATTTTAGAGCCCAAGGTCCGCTTCTCCCAAAATTTGAGCCATAAGTGACTCATGGACATCAGTGCTTACTTTGGAGCCACCCAGGCACCCAAGATGGGGTTGTACCGCTCCCATTGGAGCTCTGGTGACTCACCGTCTCAGGTTGGGCGCCTAGGATGTTCCGAAGATACCAGACTTTCAGGGCTCATGAGGAAGGCTGCAAGGGCAGGGTGTGGGCTGCACTGGCCACCTTGACCCAGGCAGGGGCCCCAGTGTCCCCTACTATCCCTTAACACTGCCCAGATCCTCTGATCCGTCCTGCTATAGTGACCCTGGCCTTCTGGTTCCAACCCTGGTCCCATTCCTGCCCCACTTGCCGTTGTGAGTGGAATTTCAGGCCCCTCAGACCAGCAGGCCTCCAGGGCAAAAGCCTGGGAAGGGAAGCCCTTGGGCCTATACCTTCCTCCCTCTCCTCCCTTCCTCCCTCTCCTCCCTTCCTCCCTCTCCTCCCTTCCTCCCTCTCCTCCCTTCCTCCCTCCCCTCCCTGCTCTGGGTACAGAACCTGCTAAAGCAGGTGGAACAGGGGCATTGCTGCAGCTGGCTCCTTGTCCCCAGGTTGAGTGCAACTCCAAACTGGACCCGACCACTACGACCTTCCTGAAGGTGAGACACCCCGCCACCACCCCAGCCCATCAGCCCTGTGGCCCAGCTGCATGGAGGGGGCTGCTGGGCAGGATGGTGTTTGGACAGCACAGTCTGTCCAGGTGTTGGGAGGGGCTCCTCAGTCCCCCCTGTTCTTTTCCTTTCAGATGGCAGATTCTGGTGGTCTTCCTCAGGTGACACAGGTAAGACCCCAGGCCCTCCTGCCATTGTATCACCCAGCCTGTCGGGGGTGGGGGTGATGGCATCCTCCCCGCTAACCCTAGGCAGCCAATCAGAGCACTTCATGTCCATCTTATTGCAGCCAGGGAAACTGACTGAGGCCTTCAAATACTTCCTGCAAGGCATGGGCTACAGTAAGTACACATCCACCCACCCCGGGCAAGGGACCAGGACACAGTGCCCATGTGCTGGGGAATCTGTGGTTGTGTGTACTCTGTCACCTGGACCCCAAAGGCTGGGCTACTCTCCCCAGACTCTGCATACATTATAAGGTGTGTGTCCCAGGCCCAGCCAGCTTCTCTGCTTGGGTAGAGCCTTAGGCATTCTTCTGAGTCCCATGTCAAGGCCCGTTTGGGAGAGGGCTCTTCTTCCAGCCCCTGAGAGTCCAGCACCTAGGCTGGGTACTGTTAGAAAAGCCCGTTTTAGATGAGTCACCCACACCCTATTGGGATTAGGACACCTCAACAGGCTCTTTGTCACAGAAAGAGGGTTAGCGCCCAGGTGCATGGAGTCTGGGACTGGAGAACAGAAGTGGAAACATGTCCAAACCTGTGGAAAGTGCCTGAGGACCCACTGGGATCAAGGGCTCTAAACCAGCTCTCTGGTCCCCATCCTTCCCGAAACATCCCCTCCTGTAACAGTGATGAGACCCAGGCTGCACCCATGAGTACCCAACATACACACATACCACACACATACACCACACACACACCACACAACACACACACACCACACTCACACACATATACCACACACCACACACCACACACACACACAGAGTATGAGTTGTTCTGGCAGCTCCTGTGTGCCTCCGGGACCTCTGGTCCCCTCTTAACAACACGCAACTGCCGGGAGAATCGCTCTCCCTCAATCTGGTGCCCTCCACCAAAGACTTCAGCCTCTGGAGCCTGTACCTCCTTGGGACAGAAATAGGATAGCCCTCCACCCTGCCAGCCCCATAGGGAAATAGCAGAAAAAGGGCACAGGCTGACAGGGAGGACTAGCCAGAATTCAAATCTAGGCCCCATGCACTCTTGGAGCTTGGCAGACATCTGTAAGGCCAAGAAGGAGCGACACTTGCAGACACTAGAGTGCGTCTCTGGGCTTCCCGGGAGTCAGAGGGGCTTTGGAAGATTGTAAGACCTCCTCCCCTTTCTGTACAAGATTGAGTTCTGGTAGAGCGGTGAGGGCACTAGATCTAGAGTGTGGCCCACGGAGGCTTAAGTCACAGCCTGGGCTGGAGAAGAGGGAGACCTGAGAATCCTGAGCCTGCTGTGTGGCTTCCACGAGCGGCCGTTTGAATGGGCTCAGCCCTGCCCTGGCCCTTACTCATTTGCCTGTGTGTCTCATCTTGGCCCATCTTGATGCCCTTGGGCTGGCCCAATCTTCACCATGTTCTGTGTCTCCTCTACCCTTGCCCTCTCTGGCTGTCTTCTCTCTCAGTTGCACACTTGAAGGACCGAAGGCTGAGTGGAGGAGCAGGTAGCCCATGGCCCCTCTCCTGCTGCATGGACACCCTGCCTAGTCCCCTCTCCCCCGCTCCACTGCGATGCTGCAGCCACACTGTGTCTTGCTGTGGTTTTGGAATCTTCTTGTGTCTTGCTCAGTTCAAAGCCCCAGTGGATCAATCCCCTGCTCCTCTGCGGACCCTGGTCTGCAGAGAGCACCGTCCCGTATGGGAACCTGACGCTGGCTGATCTCAGAGCAGATGTCTTGTTTCTAGGTTGCCATGGGCTGTGAGGCTTCCAACACTTTGGGAGTTAGAAACAGAAGCTCAGACACAGCCCTAGGCCTTTGTGGGTGTCATGCCTGTCCCTGGCCCAGCCCCTAGGTGGACTGGCCTCACCTACAGTAGCAGAAGCAAGATTCAGGGCTTGTGGCTGTGTTCTTCACAGAAGCAATCCCGCCTCCTACCCTGTCACTCTCTGGATAAAGGTCTAGTTGGCCACACAGTGCCTTCCTACCCAGCCTGAAGTGCCTAATCAACACCTGCCCTACCCTTCTGTAGCTCTGGGTAGCTGTTGGGACCTAGGACCCTGTTGGCTGCAGCTCCATCTGACCTGCTCACTGTTGCTGGCTCTGCATGCCTGATGGAGCCAGTGCCAGCACCGCGGCTTGGGTTGGGCCTCTGTGTTGTGGCAGGACTGGGTCTCCCTGGCCGCTTTGCTTGCCTTGCCCCTTTCCTGCCGCTGGTACCCACCCTGCCTGTCCTCAGGACCCTTTGTTTTTGTCTACAGTGCCCTCAGCCAGCATGACCCGCCTTGCGCGCTCACGCACCGCATCCCTCACCAGCGCCAGCTCTGTGGATGGCAGCCGCCCACAGCCCTGCGCCCACTCAGAGAGCAGTGAGGCGATGGGCCAGGTCAACCACACCATGGAGGTCTCCTGCTGAAGTCCTTGTCCTGCCCAAGACGCTTTCCTGCCCCCAGGTCCCACTGCCATCTCTGCACCGGCTCATCTTCCATTTAGTTTATTTTTGTGAGAGCGAAGGGGAGGAAATGGGGTTACTTCTCTTTTACTTAAAAAAAAATGAGGGGATCCACCTTAGACAGTGCAGCAGGACAGTCTTCGACGGTGTGAGGGGCTGGCCGGATCCACTCCCGTTTCTCTCACCATGTTCACTGCTTGCTATGGCTCCTGTCACCTACTTACCATGGCTCTGGGGTGGGGGCAGAATATGGGATACAGTATTGAAGAAAGAATGTGGCTCACCCCATGGGCCTGGCAGATGTAAAGACAGCGTGGGACTTGAAGATGGTGGGTGATGAGCTCAGGCTCCGATGTGAGTGGGTGTCAGACCAATGGAGAATCCTAACCCTCAGGGGGTCCCTTTCCTATAACCCTTGCAGCAAGCACACTTACTCTGATAGTACAGGTGACAGTCATGAGGATGGAAGCCACAAGAGGGCGCTCTGAGCAGACAGCCATTTTCCTGGTGCTCTCTGGGCAGGATAGCTATGGAGACAGAATATGGAGAACCCTGAGGGCAGGAACCCCCATACTCTGTCACCCCAGGGCCAGGTCCCACCCTGGCGGCAAAGGTCAAGATTGCTTTGTGTGCTGTGTGTAGCCCCTGAGAACTTCATGGTGATCCCTTGGGAGCCCAAAGGTACTTGAGTCCATAGAGATTGCTCTTGTCCTCAGATTCAATCAAGAATGTTTGTAGCAATGCCCTGCCAACTTGGGCCAGTGTGTCACAGACATCACTGGAGAAGTGAACTCGTTAGATCTGGTCCAAGACCGAAAGATCCCACGACCTCTGCCTGCTGGAGGGGCTGGAGCGTGCTTGGTCCTGGGGTGGGAGATGGGTGGGGGGGGGGGGTTGAGGTGAACACAGGTGTAGAGGCCTAAGGCTCTTGATGCACCCTCGCCTCCCAGAGCCCACAGCTACGCTGTCTTCCTCTCCACTATCTTACCAGGTAGATTCACAGCCCAGAAACCAGAGCTTCAGCCTGGTCACTGGTTTCATCCACTGTCACCCCCAAACGGGGGAGAGAAAGAGGAGATGTGTGTGTATGGGGGGGGGTTGTCGTGTGGACGTTCTGAAGTAAGGACACCTACATCCGGGTATCTGTGGCACAGGCCACCCCCTTCTGTAACTGTAAGCCATTTCTAGACTGCTCTCAAGTCCAGTGGAGTGTGTTCTGTCCCCGGTTGTGTTCACTCCTGTGCTCCCGTGAGTGTTGAATGTGATTGTAAAGCTGGTAGAATTCAAATCCCTTACTGTAGACAGCACTTCAAGTATCGGACATCTCTCTGCTGTGTCCTCAAGGTATCTATAAATATCTATACATTATATATATATGTATGTGTGTGTATATATATATCAGGCCCTCCTGTGTCTGGTTTCCCAATTGGTGATTGTCTCCTTTTTGGTCAAGATGAACTTTTATTGGAGTTCATTACTTTCCTCTCTGTACAAAGTTAAGAGCCTAATTTTGTGTATTCTGGTGGCTGATTAGCGATTTTAAGATGACAAAATGTAAAACAAAAAAAACCCCTCATTGATGTAGAAAATTAACTGTGCAGAAAAACTAATAAATAAGTTAATCATATGAATGTAGTGTTTCCTTCACGTGGAAGGCTGAAACTGCTTGGCTGCCTAGCTGCCTTGGGCTCAGGTGGGTGGAGGGGAGCTACGGTTTCTGTCTACCTTCAGTGCCTGTTAACACACATTTTGGGCGGAGTGAGAGTTGCATGGTCTCAGTCTGTTGCCCAGGCTGATCTTGACCCGCAGAGTCCTGCTTAAACTTCCTAGGTGTTAGGCCACCCTGCCAAGCTTTTGTTTTCCCTTTCATGGTGATGGGAATTGAACCAGGGTGATGGGAATTGAACCAGGGAATTGAACACATGGAAAGGTTTTATCATGAGGCTATATACCCTGATTGAGACACGATTTTACTGATCCTGACACTAGTTTTTCAGGGTCACAGCTGAACTAAGAGTTTAGGCAGGAAGACCTCTTCAAAGCAACGGCACGCCACTCTTTTGCTTGGTTTTTATTGCTTTTGAGAAACAGTCTCTAGCCTAGGCTGGACAGGAACCCATCTCAGCATCCTAAGTACTGTAATTACACTGCCAACTTCTCCATGTCTGATCATTTGTTCCATTGTTCATTCACCTGATATTGACTCCTTCCAATGTATCAGTTGTTTTTAAAAAAGCAAGTAAAATTAAAGAGCCTATCATTTCTATGAAGAAGATGAAAAACGAGTAAGTTAGCAACTGCGGATGTTTGTGTATTAGATGTAGAAAACCTTCAGGCCCCTTCAAACTCACGTGCAAACTGTAATTGACACAAGTCAGTGAAATAGTTGGCTATAGCTAACCAGTGGTCGGTCACTACCGCGCAGCAGCCAAGACCCCAGGAAGAAACCGGATTTTGTTTCTGCACTCTGCTGTCGGGAACGCGCCCAGAACTAGGGTGGAGGCAGCGCAGAGCTCGCCCGTGTGCTCGCGGACGCGCAGCTCCTAAACCCGCTGCGCAGGCGCCAGGACCCAAGCCCCGCCCCATCCGCTTGCGTCTAGCGTCACCGGAAGCGCAGGGAGGACGCGGCGCCTCCAGGTATGGCGGCTCCGGCCAAGCGCGCGCGGGCGAGGTCGCCAGTCACCGTTGCCTCCCCGGTCCTGAGAGCCGCCCCCGCGCCCCTGCCGCTCTCGAATCCCGGGCGCGGCCACGTCACTTGCTCCTCCCCACTGGCGGCGGGACCCGGCGGGGGCGAGCCCGACGGCGATTTGGTGGCCGGCTTCCTGCGCTGGTGCGCGGGAGTGGGGTTGGAACTGAGTCCCAAGGTGGCGGTGAGCCGGCAGGGCACGGTGGCCGGCTATGGCATGGTGGCGCGGGAAAGCGTGCAGCCGGGGGAGCTGCTGTTCGCAGTGCCGCGCTCGGTGCTTCTGTCTCCCCACACCTGTTCCATCAGCGGCCTGCTGGAGCGAGGTGGGTAAGGGGCAGAGGGTTGGTTCCGAGGCTGGCGGCGGTGTCGCGCCGGGGCGGGCGTTCACCTGGCGTCTTCCCTAGAGCGAGACACGCTGCAGAGCCTGTCGGGATGGGTGCCGCTGCTACTGGCGCTGCTCCACGAGCTGCAAGCCCCAGCCTCACCCTGGAGCCCCTACTTCGCGCTCTGGCCAGAGCTGGGGCGTTTGGAGCATCCCATGTTTTGGTGAGAGTCAAGGGAAGGGCTGGGGAGAACCTGTTTCAACCATTTTGCTCCAGGGCACTGGATACCTGCAGCATCTGAGTGGCAGGTTGTAAAGGGCCCTGGGTGGGTTGTCCTTGCAGGCCAGAGGAGGAGCGGCTGCGCCTCCTAAAGGGTACAGGTGTCCCGGAGGCCGTGGAGAAGGACTTGGTGAACATCCGCAGTGAATACTATTCCATCGTCCTGCCCTTCATGGAGGCTCACTCCGATTTCTTCAGCCCCACTGTTCGCTCTCTGGATCTCTATCGCCAGCTTGTGGCCCTTGTAATGGCTTATAGGTTAGTGCTTAAAGCCTAGAGCAGACCCTCGTCTTTAGAACCATTACTGCGGGGGAAGGTGGGAAAGAACAGTGATCCAGGTCCCTCACCCAAGACCGTGCCTTAGCTGAGTTCTCTCTGCGGCAGCTTCCAAGAACCGCTGGAGGAAGAGGATGATGAAAAGGAGCCCAACTCCCCCTTGATGGTGCCTGCTGCAGACATACTAAACCATATAGCCAACCACAATGCCAATTTAGAGTACTCTGCAGTGAGTGAACCCCTTGGCCTGGTTATGTGCATTGAATCAAATCATTGGGCTCCATTTTCCTACTATCGTGAAAATGAGTAGATGAGGTTAGCTACTCTCCTGTGTACTTTTGGTATCTAGTTACAGTAAAATGGTGCGGACACACCTTAAGGCCACCATGGTGAGCATCGTGGAACAGCAGTAATTCCGTACTTTTCAAGAGGTGGAAGCCCCCACTGCAGTGTTGATTCTGTATGGAACATTTTAAGACACACGTGTATGTGACTAGCAATTAGCAAATGGTTTGAGCGTGGTGGCTTAACACCGATAATCTTGTATGGCTGAGGCAGGATTGAAGGCTCTGGGCCCACAGTAACTCCAGACATCTGGTTTATACATTAAGACCTTGTCGGCATATGTGACTTTCACTTATTCCTACTATTCTGACATGAAGTTTAACTTCTTTTTCACTGTGTAGCCCTGGCTATCTGAAACTCAAGAGATTACTTGGGAAGCACTGGGTGTGCATCACCAGGCCTGACCTTAACATTTTTTTTTTTTTAAAAAGGTAGTGACCTTTAAGTGTAGATAACTACTCAGAGATGCATCTGGTACACGAAGCTGACCTGTAACATTGGTTTCACCTCCTATAATGGAGGGTTTAACAGTACACGATGGTACGCAGTCTCAGCCCAGTCAAATAGGCTCTTCTAAGAGCGAAGTACTCTTCATAGGCTGGTGGGGGCTAAGGTGTGGCCCCAGCTTTTCCCTTTTATCCCAGGATTATCTCCGGATGGTAGCTACTCAGCCCATTCCGAAAGGTCATGAGATTTTCAACACATATGGGCAGATGGCTAATTGGCAACTGATTCATATGTATGGCTTTGCCGAGCCCTATCCCGACAACACAGACGACACCGCTGACATTCAGATGGTGGCAGTCCGAGACGCTGCACTGCAGGGTGCGTCTGCCCGCCCCAGGTTCCACTGATGCCTTTGCTGACAGCATTTGGTTCGCTGGAGTTATTTCCTCCCGTTTTCATCCATTAATTCACAGGAGCAAAGGATGAAGCTGAAAGGCAGCTCTTGTGTGAACGCTGGGATTTCCTGTGCACGCTGGAGATGGTAGGGGAAGAGGGAGCCTTTGTGATTGGTCGTGAGGAGGTGTTGACTGAAGAGGAACTAGCCACCACACTCAAGGTATAGGCTGACAGTTATGGGGTGCTGGTATTTAGAAAAGCCAAACTCAAGACCAAAGTACTCAATTTTCCTCCAGTGATGTATCTGTCGAAGCCCCCAGAGAGTAGCACACCCTAACTAAGGCCCCACATTCCCTCCAGGTGCTGTGCATGCCTGCCAAGGAGTTCCAAGGCTATAAAGTCCAGGCTGGACGGGGAGAGCAAGAAAGGGAAGAGGACAGTTTGAAAATCACAAACATCCCCAAGCTCCAAGTAGCATGGAGACGGCTTCTTCGAGACAGTGTTCTGTTGACTCTACAGACCTATGCCACAGACTTAAAAACTGATCAAGATTTACTTAGTAATAAGGAGGTCTATGCCAAGCTCAGCTGGCGGGAACAGCAAGCCTTACAAGTCCGCTATGGTCAAAAGATGATCTTACACCAGTTGTTGGAACTCACAAATGAGCAGCTTCCCTGAATGACCAGCAGCGAGAACCTTTTAAGCTTGTGTTTTGTTGCCTGTAAAAGTAGCTGAAGGTAAACTAGGATTAATCCAAGGCAAGAGTTACATGTTGACATTTTAGGATTGGGATTAGCACATTTGGGACTCGCTGCCAATTGTTAAGAACATTCTAGTTTTACTAATGTCTTCAGATTTTTAATAAAATTTAATAAATATGAATTGAGCTCAACTTTGAGAAGTTCAAGCTTTTTAAAGTCATTTCCTGTAGAGAACTGAAGCCTAGCAGGTGGCTCTGCTGCACTTCCAGTCTGCTCAGCAGTCTCAAGTTGGTTCTCAGTGTCACACAAGGACATCCAAGCTTCATTCAGCAAAGCAAATTATAAGTGTTTGTTTCAAACACTACTTATTCATACCAAAAAGCCTAAACCTAAACTGAATTCGTTTAACTGCAGATTTTCTTGCTCCAACAATTTCTCCCTGTTGAAACAGAAAAGGCATACAAAAATTTCCTTAGGCATGGTTATAGTAGTAATCTCAGCCTCCAGGAAGCTGAGGTCAGAGATAGATAATTTGGTCTGCGAGGTAGTAGGGACCTTGATTCTCAAAAAAAAAAAAAAAAAAAAAAAACCTAAGCAGTAACGGGAAAATGTGATCATTCAGCAAGAAGTGATTATTATTTCCTGGGAGACTGGGCTATCTACTTTGTCCTCACCAGCACTGGTGGCAGCTGCTACTGAGAAAGGCAGTGGCCGGTGTGCATGTCATGACTTTGGTTAGGGGGTCTTCACACTACAAGAAAGCTGAGCTAGGGCCCAGGAACTACAAAGGCTACAAAACAGAACATGGACAACATGGACCTGTTCTCCTCAGAACACTTAAAAGATCCTTACAAAAACCAACTGCATTAGTCCATCTGACTCGTTATTTAACTAAGCATGGTGACAGGAAGCCCGACAAGAGGTGGTTTCCTCTTCAGATACGTTCTCCCTTAGGACCAAAAAGCAGGCCCAGCTTCCCTGCAAAAAGGCAAACAAATCCCGTGGATCAACTGTGGACCGTCCTGTGTTCTCAGCTTATTAGAGTCTAGCATGCCTATATTGAGAAGAACGACTTAAGTTCTTCTCAAGCTTCACTACCTTTTTTAAGTGTTACATGCACAAGTGTCAGAAGACTTCTGAGCTATGCTCAAGCCAAGAACATGCCATC